AAAATAAAAAAAAAAAAAAAAAAAAAAATTAGGATCTAGGGCTAAATGAAAATTAAAGAAGCCTCTTATTTGTAATTTGTCACTGAAAAGGAAAACGTTTCACTTCTACGAGGAGAGAATTTTTTTTCTTTTAAAACTCTATTATTACCAAGGATGAAAGAAGGTGGAAATTGACATAATGAAATTCACATTTATTGTAAAAGTAAATTTTTGCCCGCATCATTAGACTATGAATCCTAATTTGTCAAGCTAAAATTTAAAAACAGCCATTCAATTTTTTTTTGACAGAGACCGTACTATTCAATCGACCACTAAGAATTCAATCTAGTGAATCTACTTTACTAATAATCCATTTCACTTAAAAACAAGATTGTATAAGGTCGAAATAGATTTCAGCCTTGGCATGTTCGATCGAGTTCGAAGGGTGATGTATCGAATTAAGATCCCGAAGGGTGGACCAACTAACCTCGAACCCGGGAGGCCGGTCCGTGTCGAGATCGATATCATAATCAAACTCGAATAAGAATCGAACCATGATGCAGGGTAGACCTATTGTGCTAATAATCCAGAGACCAACGAACATTGACCTGGAATCAATTCGAGAGCTCGAACCAGGATCGGGCCCAAACCAAGATCACAAGTTCGAGCCGAAATCAAGCTCAAATCAAAATTGAGGATTCTAAGCAAGATCGAGCTCACAGACAAAAGCCGTTGTAATCCCACTAGAGAGAATCTTGGCAGAAATTATGAAAAAGCTGATTTATCATGAGTCTCCCACTGAATATTTATTTTATTATGCTTGGAGCCAAATCCCTCCACTATAAAAGGGCTTGGTTATCATTTTTGTAGCACAAGTTTTCTAAGACTTACATTGTTATAAAAGTACTACATTCTTCTACAGTAAAGAATCACTCTTTCAGTTTCTTAGATTGATTCTATTTGTCGAATTCTGAGGTTCATTGTTCTTGATAACCTTATCTAGATTGCATTCTCTCCAGTCTACATTTATATTTTATTTATCCTTGCATTTTGTATCAAGTTGCACCACATATCCTCGGAACTACGTATAAATTTAACTCTATCCATTTTTCGGGTAAACAGTTTGGCGCCCACTGTGGGACCGAGGATAACAGTGGTCATTTGATACAAATCTGAAAAAACACGTCATTGTGCTTTGCACTTATTTCCGAAAATACTTTGAATTTCGGGTCAGCTACGAATAACCACCGATCGAATGGCTTCACCGATCAATTACGAAGCCGGCCTCAAGATAAAACCAACAACTTGGCACCCGAGGCTCGAATTGAAGTACTCGAAATTCGAGCCGAAATACCATTGGATGTCAATTCACAAATAGCTTTGGAGGCGAACCAGCGTTCCGAACAGGAAAGAAGCATTCAGGGTGGTACTCGATCCGTAGCCCGAGACACCCCAAACCCAGGGGAAATTGGGGCTAGCTTACGTATGATCTTCGAGATGCTGCAAGCCCAACAAGTAGCGATAGCTCAGCTACAGAGCCAAACTCGCACACAAAGCAGGCCGGTTTCCAATCTATTTCGAGAAGTCACCCCCAGAACAGAGCCTGCCATAGTGAAATCTAACGAGCAAGAATCGGGGACTACTCCCGGAATTACTAAATTGCTCGAGGAACTCACAAAACGAGTCGAAGCCAACGACAAGAGGGTGGAAACGTACAATGCCAGGGTCGATCAAATCCCGGGGGCTCCACCAATGATAAAGGGGCTTGATTCGAAAAAATTCATACAAAAGCCTTTTCCGTCGAGTGCGGCACCGAAGCCAATCCCCAAAAAATTCCGTATGCCCGAAATTTCCAAATATAACGGTACGACCGATCCTAACGAACATGTCACCTCTTACACATATGCCATAAAAGGCAACGATTTGGAAGATGATGAGATCGAATCCGTGCTGTTGAAAAAGTTCGGGGAGACCCTCTCGAAAAGAGCTATGATCTGGTACCATAATTTACCGCCGAATTCCATCGATTCTTTTGCCATGTTAGCAGATTCATTCGTAAAGGCACATGCTGGTGCCATAAAGGTTGCAACAAGGAAATCAGACCTCTTCAAAGTAAAGCAAAGGCAAGATGAAATGCTGAGGGAATTCGTATCCCGATTTCAAATGGAACACATAGAATTACCCCCGGTCACAGACGACTGGGCCGTACAAGCCTTCACCCAAGGGTTGAACGAGCTAAGTTCGACAACATCACATTGGCTGAAATAAAATTTGATCGAGTATCCAGCGGTAACTTGGGCAGATGTGCACAACCGATATCAATCGAAAATTAGGGTCGAGGATGATCAGTCGGGAGCCCCGTACGAACCCGTTCATCAGAACATGACAGTTAGTAATCAAAAGCAGATCGACAGAGAACAAAGGTCGAACAGAGACCAATATCAACCGTACGTCGCAGATCGGGTGAACAACGGTTCAGCACGCAACGCAGTTCGGAACAATCGAAGGATTAATCGAGGACAAAATTCTCAGGGGCTTATGAGTAAGAACGACTTCGATAAATATGCCGATCTTATAGAAGCACCTCGATTATCAGAATATAACTTCAGCATTGGTGCATCCGCTCTCGTGTCGGCCATCGGACGCACCAAAGATACTAAATGGCCTCGACCAATGTAGACTAATCCTGCCCGAAGAAATCCCAATCAAACGTGTGAATATCATGGTACCTATGGCCACAGAACGGAAGATTGCAAGCAACTAAGAGAGGAAATAGTTCGCTTATTTAACAAAGGGAACCTTTGGGAGTTTCTGAGTGATAGGGCAAAGAGCCATTTTAGAAGTAGGGATTTTAGCAAGCAAAATGAGCAAGAAGAACCGCAGCACGTCATCCACATGATCATCGGCGGCATCGATACCCCTTAGGGACCAATGCTTAAACACACTAAAACATCGATGGTGAGGGAAAAGCGATCTCGGACTCAAGATTACGCACCCATTGGGACTCTGTCCTTTGATGATGAAGATGCAGAGGGGGTCATCGAACCTCACAACGATGCACTGGTAATATCCGTACTCGTGAATAAAACTAAAATTAAGCGTGTGTTAATCGATCCAAGTAACTCGGCCAACATCATCCGATTGAAGGTAGTAGAGCAGCTCGGCCTACAGGATCAGATCGTACCCGCAACTCTGGTCCTAAACGGGTTCAATATGGCATGCGAAACCACCAAAGGTGAGATAGTCCTACCAATAAACGTGGCCGGAACCATCCAGGAAACAAAGTTTCACGTGATGGAAGGAGATATGAGATATAACGCCCTTTTCGGAAGGCCATGGATCCACAACATGAGAGCTGTGCCTTCGACCCTACACCAGGCCCTCAAATTCCCGATGTCGAGAGGTGTCAAAACGGTGTACGGAGAACAACCAGCCGCGAAAGAAATGTTCGCCGTCGACGAAGCTAAACCAGTGTCCTCACTTTCGCCGATAAAAGGATCGGGCCCGGAAGGAGAACGGGACACCAAATAGCAATCACAGACATCGGCTTCAACCCAGCCAGACAACCAGAAAATCGAAGAGGATGGTGATCAAAGGGTCCCTCAATCTTTCATGATTCCCGATGACTCCGATGCCACAAAATCGACGATCGAGGAGCTAGAGCAAGTCATATTAATCGAGCACTGGCCCGAGCGAAAGGTATACTTGGGAACGAGGTTGAGCCCTGAACTCAGGAAGAAACTCGTTCAATTTCT